GAAGCGCCCGCGGAGGCGGAGAGGGCCCGTTTTGGGGGTTCCCGCGGATGTCCGTCGACCTCGCGGATCTCAAAGTTCCTGGTGGGAAAGCTCCGGAACCCCGGGGCCGAGAGGCCTGGGGCGAGGACGTTCCGTGCTCGCGCTCGCACCTGGATGGGGGTGCTGACCCTGGAGAGGGCGAAAGGAGAACCTCGTTCATGTTACCACTAAGGAAAAAAGAGACGAATGTATGTCTAGGAAACGGAACTCAGGTGGGCAAAGCGCCTCCCCGCGGAAAGGCCGGCAGGCACCGCGCGGGGGGCGCCGCGGGGGGCGCACGCGGGTGCTGGAGGCAGGAGGGGAGCCATTCGCCTTTTCGTGCTGCCCCTGCCGGGTTTCCCGTCCGAGACGCAGAGTGTCCCCCAAGGGCACGGGGGCCCATTCTCGAACTTGGGCAGATCTGGAGAAGAGGGGAGCGCGAAACCGGGCGACCGCAAGGCCCCTCCCCAGCGGGGCGCGGAGACCGGGGTGCAGGCCCCCCGCGGGGTTCCGGAGCTGCTCTGGAGTAGAGGAATGCGCCCCCTTCCTCCCCGGGAGAAGCTGCAGTTGTCCAGGAAGGAGGCCCAGGGCTCCTGGCCGCCCAGACGCAGTGCTCCAGTCTGTCACCGGCACAGCCCTCCGCCAAGAAAGGAGGTGCGGGGCCGGAGAGGGAGGGACAGCGGTGTCAGGAGCTTGACCTCCGAAGCCCTTCCCTCGGCCACGTGGTGCGTTCATCCCTCTAGCCGCCCGCGTCCCTGGAATCCTGACGGTGTCTGACAGCTCAGGTGCCATCAGCTCCTGGACGGCGGAAGCCCCCTGGGGACAGGTGTGCGCTTCCTTGGAGTCGCCGCGCGCCGCTGAGCTGAGCGCTCCGCTCCCTGCGCACTTGGCCCCTGGGGTCCGCAGGATTCCTCCCCCAGCCGGCTTTCCAGGATTCCACACAATAAACAGAGCATGCGACCCAATTGGAAGCTAGGGTCCCGGGGAAGAACATCGGATGCTTCTTGGGGAACTGTGGCATTGCCAGCCTTTGAAATGCCCCTTTGGAATCACATTTCTCCTGAAGATGTGCCAGCGTGTTTACATTTTTCAAAGCCGCTTTCCGTGGCCGCGCCGTGTAGAGTTATGCGTCTGTAAAGGACAGTCTTCCTGGAACACAATAAAAGCGTTTTTATACACAGAGGAATTGCTTTTGTGCTCCCTTTGTACTTGAGAAATGGGAACTTCGCGGAGGTCGGCGCAGAAACAGTTTTTTGTTGTTGTTTTAATCTTAAAATATTAAACTCCCCTTGATTCTGTAGGAGAATATTATTTATTTTTTTAAAAATTTTGGAGATGCTTCTATCCGGAATATTTTTTATATGTTTTTATTGATTTCAGAGAGAGGACAGGAGAGAGAGAAACATCAGTGATGAGAGAGTCACTGATCTCTGCCTCCTGCAGGCGCCCTGCTGGGGATCCAGCGGAGACCCAGACAGGGGCGCTGACCAGAATCCAACCTGGATCTCCTAGATCCTAGGTTGATGCTCAACCGCTGAGCCACGCCAGCCAGGCAGGGTTCAGAATATCCTAAGGACAAAACTTCACGCACATGGTTCTGTGAAGCTTAGTAAGTTAAGTGGGTCCCATGAGATAATAAAACTCTAAGCAAATGTTGTGTGCCTTAAAATGGAAATGTATAATCATCCCCACCATCACCGAAAGAGGGATTATATAAACATATTTCATTTTCTTAGTTCCTAATACAAATCATGAATTTTATGGACTCAGAACTGTGGACCTTCCCATTAAACTATTTTTAACTCAGGAGACATGTAATGATTGTTATATGGTTCATGTTCAAAACTAAATTTCAAAATGAAAGTAAATTCTCATGAAATGTATACAGACAATTGACTTCTTATGGGCAGAGCTCATGCTTTCAAACCTAATTTGATAATATGCTAATGAGGAGAAAGGCCCGAGTATGAGGCCAGTTGTGTCAGAGATGAGTATGACATGAAAACATATTTTGAGATGAAATGACCTCACGTACCCTTTACGGCGCACAAATTAGTGCTCAGTATTCTGCCAGATGAGGGCAGGAAAGCATCCCAGTCCTCTCAGCTGTGGGCCAACCTGAACCCAGGTGCCTGCAGGCAGACAGGGTTGAGGGAGCCCTTGTCGTGTGTTTCCTTAGAGGTTCTAGTGCTACCTGTTGAGGATAGTCCCCTAGCTGACTATTTGGGCAAAGCAGTAAGTGTTAAATTTTCTTTTCAGTGTTTGCTTTGAAATTTGTCTTAACTCGTTAATCAGCTTTTCTTCATTTAAGAAAATATTTTAAGGGGAAACAATAGAATCATGCTCCTGAATTTCATTCTTATGTTTTAAAAATAGGGTTGTTAAACCATTAAAATTTTAAAGGCATCAAGTCATTAAAAGTATAATAACACAGCTCTATAGTCATTCCTTTAAATTCTGCATTCATTTTTCATTAGAACATATCACTGTTTCTATGAATACGGGGTGGGGGCAAAAGTAGGTTTACAGTCGTGAGTACACAATGCACAGAGTTTATTCTTGATTATTTATTAATTGCTGTATTATTTTCTGTATGAATAACTAAGCCTCCCTCTGCCCCACCCTGGCTCAGGGCAGACCCCCGCACTTTCACCAGCTGATACTGGTACTTCTAGACGTCAGACGCTGACTTGAGGTGCCACAAGGAAGGAACATCATCGTTTCGGAGTATTTTATATTTAAGGTCACCTCTTTGGGACAGCACTTCTGTTTGCCTTGAATAAAATACTTTGCTGAGTTTTGGATTTGGTACGGGGAGAGGGGGGTACCGTAAGATTTTAATCCAGAGCAGTTGCTTGATTAAAACTGTTTCAGACTTAGTCTGCCAAAGTGACGTGCGTGGGTTGGTGAGCGTGGAGCCTTGGGAACCAGAGTGGAGGTTGCCAGGGCGACCCTGCCACGTGGTAGCACCTGCTTGGAGGCACCAGGCCACTGTGCTTCCTCACCTGTGTCACACTAGCTCCTCTCTGTCAGTTTTTTAATATCACTTCTATTTGTGTCAGACACCAGAACACAGATGATCTCACCTAGGAAACCCTCCCCTTCTGAACCTCGCCTTACACATATCTCACCAATTTCCAGCCCTAAATAAACCTCATGCGCTTCTAACACCTGCTGTCACCTGGGGGGGGGGTGGGGGCAGGGCAAGGATCCCTTGGTTGTGCCTCACCCCCTTCCCACTACATCTTTCACCGGCTCTCCTGCTCCTGCTCTCCCCAGGCCCACCATTGCCAGAGTTCTCCCAATGGGCTGTTTCTTAAAATCCTGTTCTCTGTCCCATACAGTCCTTATTTGTCATAAGCCCTACAGTTTTATTCCTACTTCTCAAAAGACTTCTCTAAAGTAGGTATTTTAAACTTTTCTCACTTCCAGTCTCCAGATGTGCACGCCCAGATTTCTAGGAAACGTTTCGTGCTTGGTCCCCGTAGTGCAGCCCAGGCCAACGAATGAGTCCAAAGAGAACATCCTAGGCTTCCTAAGCCGGCCCCTGCCTCACGGAGGAGCCCACGTGAGCTGATGGTTCCTTCGGCACTGCCGCTCATTTAACAAGGACTCGGTGTCAGGCCTCAGAGGCAGTACTGGGCCTTCCCTTCTCTGAGGCACCACAAGCACCCAAATGTCCCATCTTTCGGTGCCACCCAGGAGTGCCATCCATGGCCTCTTTCCAGTTGAGACTCTGCTTCCATAACTTCAGGTTCAAGTGCTGATGGGACTTCCCAAAGCTGCTTTTTACTGCCTGCTTGGTTATTCTCGGTGTCCTGCCAGAGTAATTTTCCTAGATTCCAGTTTCAAACATGTAATTCCCACTCTTACGTTTTCTCCATGGCTTCTCATTTCTAGAGTAATAATTAAACTTCAACTTGCAATTCAGAGCTGTCCACAATACCTACCATTGTTTCATTTAGGGATTTTAAAATCATGTAATACTTAAGCACACTGGAAATTACCCACTCATATTGGTAAAGTACCAATACACCGTACTTTCTTGTGATTTAAATTTTTTAGGATAGAAAAATGCTGAGAGTTGAAGACCCAGCTGAATCTCTTGCCATTTAATACACTCCACAGTTGGATTCGGTATTTATCTGTTACTGTATAGATGGAGTTTGTCCATTCCAGTGATTGTACTGTCTTGTGTTGTATGAAGAAGCTAGACTTCCTCTGTTAATAGTGGACACTTCCAAGGCTTTTCTGTTTGTGCTTCGACAAATACACTTACATAATTCTCTTTGATCACACGTATCCAAGGTCCCCCAGGGTATGTGATGTGGATAACAGTAGAGCAGCTGGTTTTTATAACATGTACATTTTCACTTTACTAGATGTGCTCACAGGTAATTGTTCCAATTTATAAGCCCAGAAGCGATGAAATGAGAGAACTCCCTTTATCATACTCTTAACAGTAATTGATGCTGGCATATTTCTTTAAATTATGAAATATTTCAGGCATATGGAGAACATGAAACTTTATTAAAAATCACATTTTGCTCTGTGGTCTTCAGTTTTTAAAAAAGAAATAAAATGGATAATGTCGAAGTCCTTGTATATCTCAACACCGTAACTTCAGAAGTAAACTTAGGTTTCTAACGTCATACGCTGTTTTTCTATTTTTTATTTATTTTTATTTATTTATTATTTTTTCTATTTTTTATTACATTTTAATATTTCTTCAAGTAATGTATGCTGATGCTCTGTATAGCTTCACCTTTCTATCATTGTAATCATACAGTATGACCTCTTGAAACATACTTGTTTTTACCCAAGGCTGTTTTTTTAAGATTTAATCATTTTGATACAGGTTTCCAGTTTATTAATTGCGTTTCCGCTTAGGATTCCTTTATATAACTGGTCCACAGCTTGTATTTCCTAATGCAAGTAAGCAAGAGTTTCTTCAGGTTACGTGCTTAGAGGAGGGTTTGCTCGGCTCAGGTTGGTACCTACCTAGAGGTCTTGCCCGGTTGTCCCCAGAGGGGTGTCCGAGTGCACCCCCACTGAGTCCCCTCCCCTGCTTCTCCTCACCAGCACCTGCTGGGGTGAGACTTCTCCCTCCTTTGGTAAATGGGTATGTTAAGGTCGCACTTCTCTGCACTTTGAACATGTTTTTATATTTATTGCCCTATAAATTGTCCTGCTGTGTGGATTACCCCTT